GCCAATCCCACTTTTCGTTGGTAAAAGAGCAGCCCAAGAGTTGGCGGTGGGTGGTGATGACTAGCTGCCTTCCCTCTAGTCTTACATTGCTAAATTAGGGACGGCTTTGCGCGAAACCTATCAAGAAAAAAAAACAAACAATTTCCTGTCTGCGTAAGTATCGACCTCTACCGGAAGTATGAAAAAGATTATTTCCATCTCCCAGAATTAAAATTAAAATGACATGACGCATTTACATATTTACGAATGGGACAAAATGGCACAATTTATATATTTTTATTATAAAATTATTTTCTACGTGACAACGACATCAAAGTTCTATATACACATGTTCACGTTTTATAGGATAGTCATGTAAATTATGCACTAGGCTTTTCTAATCCTTAATTGCTGCCTATTTTATATTTTTATTTAATTTCCTTTCTAATCGTAACTTCTATGACAGCAACATGTATCTTTCAGGCTAATGGAATACATCACGAAACATTTAAACGACAGAGCTGTAAGTAATGTCACAGCTTATAGAAGTTTTTCTCCTCTAGGGGGCCTTCAACTACCCGTTACCGGTAGACAGCAGGTATTCCCGAATGGTACCTTAGTTATTCACCAGGTGGCTAGGGATTCTGACCAGGGAAAATACACCTGCACAGCAAAGAACATAGAGGGCGCTTCAGATCACCAGTCAGTAAACGTCATCATCATCAGTAAGTGAAAGATTGCTTTTATTTAAGTTTGTTTGTTTGTTAGAAGTTAAGCACGAAGAAAATACACCTGCACAGCAAAGAACATAGAGGGCGCTTCAGATCACCAGTCAGTAAACGTCATCATCATCAGTAAGTGAAAGATTGCTTTTATTTAAGTTTGTTTGTTTGTTAGAAGTTAAGCACGAAGAAAATACAATGAGCTATCTGTGTTGTGACCATCAAAAGGATTGAACCCTCAATTTTAGTTTTATAAGACCTCAACCTTACCGCTGGGCCACTGTGGGTCTTATACATCTATATTAACTCAATCTATATTCACAAAATACAGAAACTAACTTGAAACTAGCTTCGAAACAGAGTTTAGAAAAGAAAGTTTTGCGTTAGCTACGTTTAAAACTTTAAATAACTTTTCCCATTAAATAAAATAATAAAAAATTGATTTTTTCACTATAAGATCAACAAAAATTCTATGATTTATCAGTTAATACTGGTAAACGTTAGAATCGTTAGTTTTAAGCATAGGCCCAGATATATAGATATATATTTATTTATTTTTTACCGTTCAACCAGTAATCGCCACAGCACGTGCGTTTCTTTCAAGAACTTTATATTATCAGTGTAAATGGATGTTTTTTATTTCTTGTTGTTTTTACCCTTAACACGCAATTACCCAATCATCACTGTACGGACGGACTTGACACTAGATAACACGTTTAATAACTGTTAATCCGTGTTGGATAGTAAAAATTTCGAGCGCAGTTTCTTTATATATTAACGTGTGTTTAGTTGAAGTCTCTATGATATGAAGTATTGAGGGTAAAACAAAAAACGAGCTCGTTTAATTATCATGTATTTCGTTTATAACTGGCAAAAGAAAAAAAACTAATACATTGTCTGATTTTGTACTTGGATATATGTATTTAAATTCAAGAAATGTAAATATATCGCGGGTATCGAAACCTGATTTTTAGCATTATAAGACTTTAGACTTTTCGCCGAGCCAGTGGGAAGGGGGGGAGGAGTTAAATAAATCGCTGGTTTCCGTTGTAGAATATTAATATTTGGAACAAATGGAATAGTTCAGAGAGACGGAGGGAATAAAAAAACTATATTTCATTTTATGTTGCAAAAATATAAGGGATACACCTTGATTTACAGGAAAACGTTCGAGTGAATGATATCTTCAATCCCAGTCTCCACTTTTCCATATTACACTAATAATTAATGAGAACTTCCTACACGCTGCTCCAGGTGTATGAAAGATTACAAATTGATTGATTTACTTTGAACCACAATAATGAATTCGTGCTCTGGTCATAAATGTGAGGGAAACGCATGCGTTAGAACAACAATAAATTCGTGTACTAGTCATATAAATCTAAATTACTCAATCCTAATTATTTGAATCGAGTGGAAGAAAAAATAATAATAAAATGAGCTATAACTCCCAGGCCACGAAACTCTGTACAAAACTTAAAAGCTTAGCTTTTTTTTTTATTTTTACATCTTCAAGAATCTCTACCCAGATCGCTTTAAGATACCCATTGTTTTAGAAGTTCCACAAATCGTACTGTTTTATTTAAAGCTTACTATCAGGCACGCGTGACTTTCAAAATTGAAAGGCTGGATTTACGAGTTGCCAAATTAATATTCCATGTAAACCGTAGACGTCATATTTTCCAAATGATACAGACATTTGGGTCATGATTTATATACATGAAAGTTAAAAGAATCAATACCTTAAACCTTCCCTACGTTTCGCTGGGGCTTGTAATCGTGAAAATATTTCCTGTGATGATAAAATTCTTTGCTTAATACATATAAGAAATGTTTTTGCCGCTTGTGAACAATTCGGTTGTCTTCAATAGACATAAAAAAATGTCGACAACATTTAACAAACTCCAAAAAATTTTCGAAGGTTGCTTTCCCTTCTCTCCAACCAAATTTACTATTTTTTTTTTGATAAAATTGTGAAGGAATATCTGATAATAGTAATACTTAGCCACGTTAAAGCACGCTGTATACAAGTAAATAGGTAACTTGAAGTGCAACAGGCTGTATAAATAAACGGCTGAATGATATTACACTAGACTACACGTATAAATAGCTAGGTTAAAATGAATCAGTCTGTACTTTTTCAGTATATCGAGTGTAATCTTAGGCGTTCTTTAAATTCCTTGAACTTGTTTTCTCTAATTAAATCTTCTTCACTGATTGGTTGTCATTCCAACGTGATCACAGAAAGGCGAGGAGCTTAAAATGGACTTAACATTACCTTCATTTTCGGCTGGAAACAGCAAGCATTGTTCACTCATCATGCAAATGAACGCACGTATTGTTATCTAGGCTAAGATAGTAAGTGTGATGATTGAATATACGTAGGTTCTCCCTCCCCCCCTCCATCATAGACGACAAAATGGCAATGTCTTAAGAAAGTGGGAGTTCTCCAATTAGCAACTGCGCCCCCTAGTGCTGGAATTAGTGTACGATTTTTCCCAGTTTTCATTCTTTTCCTTATTAAAGTCACCAGCTAATTATAACTGTTCCAAATGAGAGCTCCTGGCGGAGAAGGGATTAAATTACCTTCATCTTTGTTGATATCAAATGTAAACAAATTTTCAATCTTTCTGACGCATCAAACTAAATATAATTTTCTGAAAATATTACCTATGAAATCAGCGTAGATAAAAACTACAATTTTAGAGAAAAGTTTATTAATTAACTTCTAGAGCTATGTATATTATAACAGACATCAGGATAACAAACGAAACCAAAACTCAAACTAAAGGCAACATATTATCATCTACCTCTTACAATTCTTATACTATAACACGATCACAATAACGAAACCAAAACTCAAACTTTAAGGGACTATTTTACTATCTTCTACATACTATAAAAAATCACCCAATAACAAAATATCCAGTAAGTTGACTTCAAGGATGTTTCTCAGATTTCTACATAGACAAATTACAATGCTTTGTAATTTTGATTAAAGTTGGTGAACAAGAAACAACTATTGAAGTAAAAAGGCTCTTTTAAAAATATTGTATCCTTCTGTTATTCATGATTTATCAGAATATAATAAATAAATAAATACTTATAGGATTTCGTGACAAAATAAAACGTTCTTAAAAATGAGCAGTCTAATTATTGCGTTGCCCTTTACGAAACATATTACCAATTTATAGGATAAGAACTATAGTAAAATATGCGAAAAGAGCAGTAATTTGTAAATGTCAGAAAATTTCTTTTAAAATTTAATAGCTGAGATATATTTGCTCCAAGTTACATACGGTGAATTTCCGAAAAGCACGAGCTTGATTTGACTCCTGCCACCTGTCTGTCTGACTATTCATATATTATCTTCTAAATTATGTAACTAAGCCTCCGAGGTAAGCCACGGGCAGTTGAGGAAAATGTTCTGTTCTCATTCGACGCCTTGGGAGCGTCAGAAACATGTGCAAACAATTGTCCCCGAATTAGCATGCACTGTTCAATTTATCATACACAACAGAGATAACCATGTTTGGCCTCAACATTACGTTCTGGACAGATGTAAGTAGACAGCTTACAAGCAGACGTGTAAGCATTTCTGAAGTAAAGACAGACAGAACAATTTATTTATAAGGTTCTAATCAAGTTAATTGTTAATAATTAACCAATGGTAATATATATGAATGTAAAATACATACAAACAAATATATGTACATATAAGTGTGAACTTCTCGTGAATAGTTTGTTTTAAACAACTGTTTCGGTATTATGCCAAAACCATATTTTTTATCTTATTTTTCTCCCTGCAACATTTGGAATATGTTTTGCTAGAATCTTTAGTCATCTTGGGGCAGATACTAGTGTCGACCCCTCCCCACCCACTCCTCCTTTCTTTGGTAATATCTGGCGTCCACTTGGACTCTTCTGGTTAGGGATACGATAATTGAACGACAACCAATGAAAATCGGGCATTTAATCATTGCAATAAGCGTTTTCAAGTTCCCTTAAATAATATAATGTTCAAATGTGATGGTATAGGATCAGCCATTCTGATCTTTAACAGCACATGGTGATTAATAACTAGTTTCCGTTCTAATATGCATCACGTGACCGGTAACTGTATAATTCATCATATATATTTCTCTTTAAATTATTATTGTTTTCGTCTTAAATATGTAATCATGCTTATGTTTTTTCTTTCTTTCTTTTTTCAATTTTTAGCCCCACCAAAAATTATTCCCTTCGAAGTGCCATCGCGGGTCAGAGAAGGTTCAGCAATAGCCCTCACGTGCTCAATCAATCAGGGAGATCCACCCTTTAAGATGGAGTGGCTAAAACACAGTCGCCATCTACCGCCCGAACTTGGAATTAATGTGCAAATACACGAGAGGTTTACGATTTTGGCCCTGAATAACGCACGTGTAATTACCACCATGCTCGGGTTTAACGTTCTCTACATTTTAAACAAATCCGTAAGGACTAGCTACAACGGTTTCTTCTCATACTCAAGTGGCGAGAGAGAGAAGGTTTATATTTACATAATATATTATTCTCACTTACTATCCACACTCAACAATGTACTGTGACTTGCTCTTCCTCCAGCATTAGAAACTTGAAATTAAACTTAATTATGTTCACAATGTATCTCATACTGAAAACCGTGAGAGGATACGAAACTTACAATGTAATCCGTTAGTCGATATGAAATTTATAGCAAATGCATTTCAGCGTCACGTGTTATCCTCTATTTTAACGGTGTTTTGGTCATAATCCCAAGAATGTTTTTCAACTTTGCTTGAAAGAGACAGGTTAAGCTTCATTCGGTAAATCAATTCAAAATATAAGTTACGTTCGTTGTCACTATAGACTTTACAAACACGCGTATCTTGTAATTACAAAGTTCGACACCAGGAGTATCTTAAATGTGATGTTATTAAAACACGTGGATTACTAGTGATTTTGTTGATCTAGAGGTTTTTTACTTATTAAGAAAACTGATTAAGGGCCTTTT